CGTCTAATCTCCTTTTCATGCATTTTCACACAAAATGAAAGTCTTCCTAACAATGTTATCTTAGGAGATTAATCGAAAGCAAGTTGCACTTCGTACCGCTTTATAAATATGTTAATTGTGAAATAATTACAGAATGCTTTATTAGAGGCTGCATAAGCTTACCTATTGGCCCTTTCAAGAGCATTTTGCGTCAAATTGAGTCGCTCACGCAATTTAGCCAATTCTTCAACTTTAGAATTCATCTGTTGACGCAACTTTTTGAGCTCGGCTTCCTGTCGTTTTGTGGCTGACCATTGATTGAAGTTGTTATCCTGCTCACTCTTATAAGAAAAAGTTAGAAAACCGCAATCAGTAAAGAGGAATATTGCTTGATTGAGGAAAATGCAGTGTAAGAGTGAAATATTATGCAAAATATGAACTTATGCAAATGCAGGAAGTGCCATCTTTCGAATTTCGTGAATTTCTGCAAAAAATACTCTTCTACCCAGGTTGCTCCGTATGAGCATTGTCAGGTCACAATTCAACTCACCTATTTGTATGTGATTTCATTAATGATCCAATGTAAACTTGAAGTCGCATCTAACCGAAAGTGTAGACAGCGTGTGATTGAAAATGATCACAAAACAATTCTGCGAGGTGAAATCTGTCCAAAATCGGAAGCGATGCTTGGGAATAAGTTTTAGTTAATCTTCTCTTCGTCCACCAAGTAGGATTTATTGCAAACAGATGCCGTCCATTTCGCAAGTCTTCTAAAGGTTAGCTGATTTACCAACACTTCATTTAATTATTAGCAGTCTCAGCTATAGTTATTCAGGCTAAATAGTACTCAGCCATTCACAGTGCGACCAATTAGGACATAGACTTGCACGAAGTCACTCTAGCATAAGATATACTTCTGCTTTAATACTGTCAAAAGGTCAGTTACAGGGAAGTTTTCACCTGAAAACTGAGCCTCATAAAGAGTTCACTATCCCTCTTTGACAATTGTGCATTGCTGCATATACACACAGCAGACGTCCTGACAATAAGTTCAGAAGACGAGGTGACCCCGTCGTCACTTAAAGGAGACCTACAGATGAGGGTGTGTGAAAAGAGGCCTCTGTATTTGCCGACTAAAAAATAGAGTGCAAACACACCCATACTTGAATAGGAGCTGTAGTAACCATAGCTTGCATAAGGTAATTAAGAACTAATAGTTGAATTTTCCTAAAAGCATATAAATAGGGATGTCTTGCTTCCCAAAAGGTATTCTCATCCCTGCTGAAATGGACTAGATTTCATCAAAACCCTCGGCAGAAATCGAACCCGGCGTACAATTTAGACGTGTTTCCACTGCGCAACATTGACATGAATGTCAGTCGATCACAGGGCAGAATAAAATTTCAGAACTAGCCAGACCTCTTCCAGACCACATTTTATAGTGGGTTTGTCGATGAAGCAAACATGTATTTAATAATGCAATCAACTATATTAATTATTTTCAGTTTGTGTAGGATTCTAAACCACCAATAGATCTTGAATAAAAGCTGTATTCATCATATGTCGCCCAAGATAGTAAAGAACGGATAGTTGAAGGTTCCCATAATGCTACTGAATTTCACACTCATTATTGGCTGCTTCATTGGGTTACGGCTAGCCTTGCCTCCCACAGGACACTGAAATGTATTAGCCAATCCGAGGAATGTTAACGAAATATTTCAAGGAATCGTGCTTAAAAGGGAAGACCAACTTACCTTTCCTTCTATATACGGTTTTTCAGGTTGAGACTTGGCACGTTGGAGTTCCTCTTCCAGAGTTTTGACCTGTCGACGGAGCTGCTCGCTCTGTTGCCTGAGAGGGTCATCCTGAGAAATACCCTGAATTAGCCGATTAAAGAGAAAAATTAAACCAAAAGTAAATCACTTTCTAGATTGAATAAATAATACTGTGATTGAGTTAGTTGCTCACCCTCAGACGTTTAAGCCGTTCCAGCTGACCTTTCATAAGTTTGTTTTCGTTCTCGAGTGCCTCAAGGTCTGCTTTTAGCTTCTTCAAGCGATTTTCTTTTTTATCTTTCAAAATAAATATAGGATATTGTGCATAAAACAAGTCAATATTGGATATTGTCTAACCGAGCCTATTATTACGATCACAAAAACTAGTTTTTTAACTTATAACCTTGATAGCGCGAAACCATAAGAAGCCAAACTATGTTTTTAGTAATATTCATGAAAACGAGGTCTCCAATCCCGTAAGGATGACTGACTAGATGCAAGCAAAGTTGGTACTGCAGTCAAGCTCGGATAAGAAATTATTTTTGGTAGGCAATTTAAATTACCTGGCACTGTGAGCCCTACCTATTTCATTGTAGGAAATTAAATTATTGGCATTTGCATTACCTTAAGCGACCTAGCATAACAAAACTAATGCTTTCCTCTGAGCAATCGCTTTCGTTCCCAACTCTAGGCAACTCAGAAAAAGTAAAAATTCAAGAACTAATGACAATCTTGAAAACTACTTACTCTTAAAATAAGTAATATCATAGATTGTCTTCCTTTCGCCGGCAACCTCAGTGAGTCTTTCAAGTCCCAGCACAAAGATACCATCGTCAAAACTTGTCTCCTTGATTAGCTATGGCTTGGAAGTGAGAATGCTAAAACTCACAGACTATGCCAGCGAAACCTTTACGAATGTACCAAGTCCACAGTACAGGCCTGAGAATAATGATAACCAATATGGCAGAGGACTTCAGACAAGATGCATCCAGTTAGGTCAGCCTGACAAAATAAACAAGTTGTGAAAATCAGGTCAGACCACTTTCATACATCGAAAGTAGGTTGCGATTAAAATAGAATCTAAAATATTTTGGTCTTCATATCTACTTTATCTGATTACAACCAGCCATTACAATCGAAGAAGGTACGCATAATATATAATCGAGTATGC